GCAGCGAATTCCGAATGCGCGACAGAACCGAACACGGGCCCTTCCTGCATCTTCCTCACCACAGATCGGAGGTTAGAGCCCATCCTCACAGCCACCGTATTCATCTGTCTCATCAAGGGTCTTCCTCTTTTCCACTGCTTCTCTGCTTTACCAAGCATGACGTCCTTCTCCGAGAACTGCTCCCTCCTGATAACCTGGCCAAGACACGTGAGACAGTCTCGCCATCCTTGTGTGTAAGGAGCGTGCTGACTATAACTCTTCCAAGACAGATGTGTTTGTTCCTTTGGCAGTCCACATTCAATGCCAGCACCATCATTCAAATGCACCAATTTCTCTCGTCTTCCTCCGTCAACGTCCAACTTCCACATGCAGATGAGGCAACTGAAAGTACCCTGGCTTGAGTCCGGTGCACCTTAGTCCTCAAAGTAACAAACATCCTTGCTGTTCAACACTTCCAGGAGGTCTTGGGCAGCAGACTGACCCAATGTAATGCATCATTGGGTTTCTGCTGCTTCCATCATTGACTGCTGCTTCCATGAGCACTGATGGTGGATCCAAGCAAGGCGAAATCCTTGACAACTTCAACCTTTTCTCCATTTATCATGATGTTACCCATTGCTCCAATTGTGTGGGTTTTTGTTTTCTTTACCCTAAGTTGTAATCCGTCCTGAAGGCTGAAATCCTTGATCTTCATCAGTAAAGGCTTCAAGTCCTCACTTTCAGCAAGCAAGGTTGTATCATCTGCATATCGCAAGTTGTCAATAGCCCTCCTCTGATCCTGATGCTACATTCATCTTCATATAATCCAGCTTCTCTGATGATGTGCTCAGTATAAGAGCTTGAACAAGCATGGGGAGAGGATCCACTCCTGTTGCACGTTTGCTGATTTCAAACCACTCAGTATTCCCTTACTCTGTTCACACAACAGCCTCTTATTCCATGTACAGGCTCTGCAGGAGCACAAGTAAGTGTTCTGGAATTCTCATGCTTCTTAGGGCTATCCATAGTTGGTTATGGCTCATACACTCTAATGCCTTTGAATAGTCCATTCAAAACAACCAACAACTCACTGCCCTTGAGTCTGTAGGACAGGATATACTGCCCCTGAGGGTTTTTGAGATCGAAACTCTTTGTGGGAGTAGAAAGCCTCTTCTTTCTCCCATGAAGCAGTTAGTGGTTTCAAGCATGGTTTGCAGTCCAACTTGTAACCTACTACACTGCCAGGGCTCCTTATGAACAAACACAAGTAAACAACTTTCTAGTATTCTCTGCTTTCAGCCATGATCCATCTGACATCAATAATGTTCTACATCCTCTTCTGAATCTGGTCTGAATTTCTGGCAGATTCCTGTCAATGTACTGCAGCAATCGTTGAATGATATTCAGCAGAATTTTACTTGGATGAACTATCAATCATATTGTTCTATACGTTGTGCATTCTGTGGGGGTCACATTTCTTTGGAAGGGGTTCAAATGTGGATCTCTTCCAGTTAGTTGGGCAGGTAGCTGTCTCCCAAATTTCTTGGCACAGATTCGTGAGTAAGCACGAGTAAACACGAGTGAGTAAGCCTGTTGACACATTTCAGTGGGTATTCCATCCGTTCCTGGAACCTTCTTTTGGGCTAATGCTTTCAGAGCAGTGTGCACTTCTTCCTCCAGTACTCTTGGTTCTTGCTGATAAGCTAACTTTTGAAATGATAGGAAGTCGACTAGTTCTGTTTGGTACAGTGACTCTGTATGTATCTTTTCCCATCGTCTTTGGATGCTTCCTTCAGCATTCAATATGTTGCCCATAGCAGCTGTGTCAGTCCAGGTAGACTAGGGAAACAAATCCATAGAAACTCATTGGTATATAAGAGAGTTTTATGTAAGGGTGATTGTGCATTAAGAAAGCCTCCCAACCCAGTCCAGTCCAAACCCATAAGTCGGATATTAGCCCATATGTCCGACACCGATCTATAAAGGCCTCTTCAGACTCAGGAAACACATAATGACGCTGAATGCAGGATGATCACAGACTAGTGGGTAGAAAGCCTTTGGATCCAGTGGCATGGTAAACATCTCAGTGCCGTCAGGGGTAGCAGTAGTCTGTACTCAACAGTAAGACCCGTGTGTCTGGCCATGGAAGGCTCTGTGAGGGTTGACAGTTCCATCCCAGCTCTTCGTCTGAGGCCGAGGGGTGCAATGGTTAAAGATTCAGCAGCTTATTGAAGGGTCAGCAGTTAAAACGCATCAGGCAACTGATGTGGCATTGGCTTCTGTAAGAGAGGACAGACAGCCTGGCAATCCTGTGGGGACAGGATTTGCTCTGTGGCTCCTTGGGTGGGAGCCTGTGGAACTCTCTCAGGCCTCATTCCTCTTTGCCTCCAAGTCTTTCCTAGGCCGTGCTCCCTTCCTGAGTGCTCCCCTTTTCCTGATTTTTCTACCTCTCCAACCCCACCTTCAGTCTGATTACCCCCGGCACCCACCATGGCTGTCTGTGGGGTCTTGAGTTTTTCCCCCTTGAGGTTTGAGCGCAGAACCAGACTCTTAAGAGAGCTGCGAGGGGGCGAGTCCCACTTTCTCCCTGATAGGCTTCTTTGCCTCACCTCACCCTCACTGCAGTTCCCATCCCACTGCACCCAGGCCAAACAGGTAAACTGAGTCAAGGAGTGTCAGATATGGCAGAAAACACCATTTATTGAGCATCTGTCATGTGCTAGACCCCACAGTAAGGTCTTGACCTCCACTAGGTCCCCCAACCACAAAAAAGGCAGGGTGGGTGGTACTGACATCAGTGGACAGTGGAGGAAGTGGGAGGCACAGAGGCTGGGACCCTAGGACACATGAGCCCATGCGCCTGTGAGTCGGCCCTTGGTAGAGGAAACTGTTCCCCACAGTGTGGCCCGACTCCTACTGCCAGGGGAGGGAGGTCCTGCCCATGAGCTACTTACAAGGTGTCGAGGAACCCTGCTGCACAGTGGCGATGCTCTGGACTGCTACCTCAAGGCCTGCCGTCTGAAACTACCTGCCACACTGCGGGGAGGAGGAGGCTGTCTATTCCTGTAAGGAGTTAATCTCAGAAACTCCCAGGGGCAGTTCGACTTTGTCCTCTCGGCATCGACTCGTTGGCAATGCGTTTTCAGGTGACCTTAAAGGATCAGTGTAAGGACTAGCTAAGGTAAATCAGTAGATTCCTTTAAATCCTTTCCCTCTTTCGTCTCTTGGTTTCCCAATTTGCAAAATTGGGCGAACTGAAGTCTCTGGACTGGGAAATCTTTTCTCCAAGCGGCCATCAGGCCGAGCGCATTTCTCAGCCCTCCACCGGAGGCCACCAGGAAGCTGCGGAGCCGTAGTGACCAGCAGCTGCCCTGGCGCAGCCCAACGGGCCCGGCTGAGCCCGGGGTAACTGACCAGCGTGTCAGGGTCTGGCTCCGACCGCCCCCCCAAGGACATTCTCGGTACTGCAGGAAGCCGAGCCCGAGGCGGCGGCCAGGAGCGCCTGCTGCGAGTGGAGAGGCCGGGAGGACAGAGAAATGGGCAGGGGACCCCGGGGCCAGGTCCCGCGGGCAAGAGTGAGGCGTTGACGTCCTCCAACCTCCCTCCGAGGCCCTCCGCATGGGCAGCGGCTACAGGTAGTTGTCTTCGGCTGCGTCCGCTCCGCCCTGGAGCTCCTGGTCTTCGCTGTCGTCATCGTCGTCTTCGTCGTCGTCGGGGGCCAGCGCCTCAATGTCATGGGTGATGTTGGCCAGCAGCCGGTGGAAGGCCTGCGCCTCGGGCCTCTGGGCGGCGCCGTCGTAGCTGCGCACCGCCGACGCCGACGTGGAGCTCATGCTGCGCTTGATGCGGCCGAAGCTGTCGGTGAGGATGCCGCCCTCGCGGATGCCCACGCCCTCCAGGAAGCCCTCGAAGTAGCCGATGTCCGGGTCGGGGATGAAAGGCCGCATCCCTGCAGGCGAGCGAACCGAGGGAGTCCTCAGCCAGCAGCCTCTCCCCCTCCCGCAAGGGCTCGCCCTCGGGGGAGCCGTGCACGCACGCAGCCACGCACGCATGCGCGGTGGAGCGGCTACCGGTTCCCGCACTTCTCCGGGACGTCAGGACGGACGTAGGAAATGCTCATGCTACACGCCAGCTGCGGAGGCGGCGGCTTCGTCTAGTCCCATTTCTTAGCCGTGTGACCTTCAGCAAATTCCTGATTATTTCCTCTCCCCCTCCCCTCCCAGCCTCTTCTCCTTTATGATGGAGACAATTGCACCGGGTTCCCCAGCAAGACTCTGAGGATGAAATAACGAGGGGCTTGGCACACACCAAGCGTCCTATTTTCATTTCCTCCCTAGGTGACTTCGATGCCTAACTTCATTCCCCACGCCCTGAGCCTCACTGTCCTTAACTGTGAAATGGGGGCAGTTAAACTTTCCAGCACTCAAGGAGGCTTTGCACACCAAATTGAAAGAACCAACCAACCAACCAACCAACCAACCCAACCACCCACCCACCCAACCACCAACCACCCCAACCAACCAACCCAACCACCCAACCAACCCACCCAAACTGACTGCTATGGAGTCAATCACGACTCATACTGATCGGAGGCAACAGAACAGAACTGCCCTGCCTGGTCTTCCAGGACTGTTTCCCATAAAGCCTTTCTTCCACGATGCACCTGGTGGTTTTGAACTGGCAACCTTTCGGTTATCAGCCCAACACAAAACCACTACAGCGCACAGCACGTTACTGCTGTTATTGTTAGCCCCCCCCTGAGTGCCAGTGGGCAGGTCCCTGAGTCTCTCAGCACCTCGCTCTCCTTGTGCGTAAGAATGGAGGATGCTCTCCCCCAGGCTGCTGTGGAGACAAATGACTGTTAGTCTTTCACTCTTCTTCTTAGCGCAGGGGACCCTTATCCGCCCCATGGACCTCTGGGACTGCTGGGAGAGGAAGTGAGGAAGCTCCTCCGCCCGGTGCTTGACCAGGGTCGGGTCGTGGGGGGTGGAGGGGTGGGGTGGTAGTGGCAAGGGGCTTACCCAGGAGGAGGAACTTGCGCCGGTCCCCATAGAGCTTCAGTAGGCCTGCGCAGTAGTCCTGGATGGGCAGTCCCAGCCGGTACTCCCGCAGCAGCATAGCAAACTGCTGGATCTCAGGGGGCCCCAGCTTGGTCCGCAACTGTTGAGGGGTTCCATTCAAGGTCAGTCCCAGAAACGACCCCCGCCATAAGGACACGGTTGGCCCAGCCCTCTTCTAAAACCCCCTTCTGTGGCCTGTGGGCTCTAAGTGCCTGAATTCAATCCCAGCCCCTTCATGGATCACCAGCGCCCCCCCACCCCCCAACTCGGTTTCCTCATCTGCAAAGTGAAGACAGTGATGGAACTGTCTCTTGGGGTGGTTTCAAGGGTGAGAAGAGATTCTCTCCGAAAGGCAAGGCGTTAGAACAGGTTTACGCCACACGCTCAGTTCATGCTAGCCGCCATCAGCTAGGTAAGGTTTTGCACCCCAGCTGGCCGGCACTCACTCTCCTCTCCGCCCTGACCTCTGGAGGGCTGCTGCTGCTGTGATACCCAGGACTATTTCTGATTCCTCTTCGCTGCGTGCCATGCGCAGTGCCCACCCGAGCTCACCGTGACCATGTAATCCTGCAGCTGTTCTAGGCCAAGGCCGCTGTGGTCACTGCTGCTGCAGTAGGAGCCGGGGCAAGAAGGTGTGGATGTGCCACTGTAACACGCTTCAAAGGTGTCCTGGGAGCCACTGCTGCAGGGACACACAGAAAGGGGTCTTTGCTGGCCTTTCATGCCCACTGACAGTGGGAGGGAAGGGCTCAACCTCTTGCCCCATGTTTTGGCCTCACGGCCCCATGCCTGGCCTGGCTTGGCCTCTACCTCCCACTCTGATCCTGCCTCTCTCCATGCCCCTGTTCGCTCTCTGTGTGCCGCCCACCCTGCCTTGTCCTTCTTCCTCTAAAGTTCCTGGGACCGTCTCACCACCAGGCCTTTGCACATGCAGCTCCCTCTGCCAGGAATGCTTCCCTCCCCATACCTTGGGCTCCGCTAACTCTTCCTCATCGGTCAATCTTAAATCGCACCTCAGGAAATTTCTCCAGACACCCCAGGCCAGGCTAGACTCTCAAACGTGCTCACCAGCCCGTGGAGCAGGACACACAGACAGACCTCTTGAGACCTTTCCCCACAGCGTTTGGAAACTCCCCCACTCCTCAACAGCTCAGGCTTCTCTAAGCTCTTTTCTTAGGAGTTTCTAGTCCGGGGAACCAAACCCCCAGTTTGTTGTTTGGGTTGTTCTCGCAGGGCTTCTGGATCCTATCTGCCTCAGTTTACTTCCTACCCCAAGTGCCCAAGATGTCAGCACAGACTGGCTTGGTCCCTTCTATGCCCCGCCCTCCTCCCCACCCAGGAGACTCCCCAGGGCCGGCAGAGGGGTTCTGTTTGTAGAGCGTGGCACCCACAAGGAGCTGAAGTCGGCATCATAGGCGTATGTCCCGTCGGTGCGACAGCTCTCACCTGGGGGCAGCAGACAGAGGGGCTGTCAGCGGGGCCAAGGAGAATAGCTTCCCTGGCTCTCAGAGGCCCCTACCAAACCCCACCCACCCTGGAATCTAATACTGCTCCTGTCACCCAGCACAGCTGACCTCTTCCTCTTCCTGTTACTCAACTTGCCCGATATTGGGACAATACCGCCTTCCGACCCACAGCCTGGGGACCTGGGGGGTAGCAGAGGAGGGGAGAGTTGAGGGAGTGTTTTGTAAACTGTATGTTTACAAAGCTCCCTGCCATGAGTCGATGCTGGCTCATAGCGACCCTATAGGACAGGGTGTAACTGTCCCTGTGGGTTTCCGAGACTGAACCTCTTTACAGGAGTAGAAAGCCCCACAGAGTGGTTGGTGGTATTGAACTGCTGACCTTGCGATTGAATCACAGCCCAACATCTGACCACTGTGCCACCAGGACTCTTCACATGTGTGTGAGGCAAGGTAAAAAAGAGCTTTGTAAGAGGAGCTTTGTAAAACCATTTGCAGAGGACTTGCTGGGTTCCTAGAGTCAGAGCCTCCTTCTCCGGGAGGCTCCCTGACTGCCCAGGAAAGGCCAGATCCTCATTCTACATCCTCGGGCCACAGTGTGCACTCACCGACCGACTGACCTGTGTAATTCTTTAACTATCATTGACCTGCCTCTAAGGATTCAAGATGTAAAGACACCATAAGTCCTCATGATTAGCACATGGGAGCCCTGGTAGTATAGTGGTTATGAATTGGGCTGGGATCCATATGGTTGGCAGTTTGAAACCACCAGCAGCTCTGTGGGACAGAGACTGGGCCTCCTACTCCCATAAACAGTTATGGTCCTGGAAATCCACTGGGGGTCACTCTGAGTCAGCATTGACTCAATGGCTGAGAATTTGGAGATCCATTTTTGGAGTGATTAGCACTGGATCTCAAACATCAGAGGTGCTCAGTAAAGATTTGCTGGATGAATGAGTTTGTGGAAATATTTCTTGAGTGACCCCACTTAGGGGCTGTCATCCCTGTGAGAGTCAATGAGCCAACTCTCCCAGTCTCCCCCAAACCACCCTTTCCACAGGGGGGAGTGCTTCCAGAGGGACCATGCCAACCCCATTGCTGGAGCTATGCCAATAGAGACCACCAGGGGGTGCTGTGGCCGAGGGAATTCACTAAACCGTCCTGCACACAGCCAGGAGGGTAAAGTGGCTCAGCCAGACATGGGTTTGAATCCTGGCTCAGCAACTTAACAGCCGTGTGACAAGCTGATTTGAACCGTAATGTCCCATCTGTAAAACTGGAATCCTCCAGCCTCAGAGAACTCTTCCATTCATTCAAAGATGACTTTTTGAGCTTCTGCGATGGGGTTACAGTGATGACCCGGAGGGATGACATTGATTAGAGAACTGAATACGATGCAGCATATCAGTGCTGTGTTTAGGCAATCGTTGATGATCAATAAATGCCTCTATTCGTTTTCTCCTTCTTCCAGCTCTTGATTGCATGCAAACACCATCTGGAAATCCCCAGTCTGAGTGGGGCTAATGGCCCAGGGAGCACACAATGCATGTGCTTAGGTTCGTTCAAAGCTGAGACACCGAGGCAAAGAGGAGAGGAAAACTGAGCTTGGCAGGGCTCATTCTGAATTTAGGAATGTGAACATCTAAGAAACTCGAAAACAAACTCACCGCCATCGAATTGATGCCGACTCATGGCGACCCTACTGGACGGGAGAACCACCCCTGAGCCTGTGACTCTTGACAGGAGTGGAAACCTCAGCGTTCTTTCTCTCACAGAGCAGCTGGTGGCTTTGACCTTGCTGTTAGCAGCCCCATGTGTAACCTACTGTGCCACCAGCACTCCTGAACAGATTACAGAAAATCCACCTGGGCACTTCAGTGAACTCCCTGGGTGATGCGAATAGTTATCCTGTGTTAGGCTGCTAACTGAAAGGTTCAAATCCACCCGAAGGGCCTCAGAAGAAAGGCCTGGCAACCCACTTCCAAAATAATCCGCCATGACACATGCTAGGGGACCCAGTTCTACTCTGACACACCTGGAGTCACCACCAGTCAGACTCAACTTGACAGCAACTAGGTATAGCAGTAGGTCCTGGTGATCAGAAGCCCTCAGGACTTCTGACGGCTCCCAACCCCGGGCTATCTCTCGTCCCTCTTAGGATGTGGGAGAAGCTGGGGTTCCAGTACTCACTGCGACTGCTGAGCCACGGCCGGTCGGGCGTCGACGTGTAGTGGTAGCCAGCCCGGTCCACGCACTCGATGCTGTGATCCCCGTAGATGATCTGGAACACCTGGCAGATGAGGGCGCAGGACTCCTCGGCGGCATCCTGGCCCAGAGGTGGGGGAGCGAGAACTCAGACCCTCACCAAGGACCAGGAAGCCCTGCTCCCAGAAACGGTGGGAGGATCCTCCCAGAGGCACACACCCACAGATTCTGGGAAGCCCACTTCCAGAATATTTCCCCTCAAAATTAGATGGTCATTGAGTCCCGTTAGGAAATCGGGGGCAAGTTCCTGTGCCTTGGAGAATACACCCTAGATTTTTGGGTGACCCATGGACCATCCAGAAGTGTATCTAAAACACACCCTAAATTTAAGTCCCTTTACAGGTATGGAAGTTGGGGAAGTAGTGATTGGCCAGGACTTGAACCTGGGGCTCTTGACCAGTTAGTGGAAGAAACAAAAGCATCACGGTTTTAAGTTTATAATGAGTGCTACTGGCTGCCATCTCTAGATATGAGCTTCCTGGCAGCCAGAGCAAAAATGGAAGCAGGATGAATGCAGACTCTCCAGGCTCTCATACTAACTCACCCTCTGCCGTCGAGCCAATAACTCATAGCAACCGCCTGGGGCTTTTCGAGATGGTAACTGTTTACAGGAGTATAAAACCCAGTCTTTCTCCCAAGGAGCTGTGGGTGGTTTCGAGTTGTTATCATTGAAGATCACAGCCCAACCTGTAACCACTACAATACCAGGGCTCCTCCGGTCTCTGATAGGACCAAAAAACCAAACTCAATGCCACCGAGTTGATGCCAACTCATTGCATTCCTACAGGGCACGGTTGAACTGCTCCTGTGAGTTTCTGACACTAAGTCTTCATGGGAGTAGAAAGCCCAGCTTTCTCCCACAGAGTGGCTGGTGGTTTAGAACTGCTGACCTTGTCTTTAGTCCCCCAGTATATAACCACTACGCCACCAAGACTCCTCAGGCTTCCTTTGATAGGAGGAAGGAGTCTCATTAAGTTCATGGGTGAAATGTTATGGTTTCTGATTGGGAGAGAATTTTCTCTCAAGTCTTTAAGCAAGAGCCCTAGAAAGGCAATGACTGGCATACAGAGCCTCGCCACAGCACACACCTGTTTCTGGGTCCGAGTCTCTAAAAAAAGTTCCAGGTGAAAGTGAACATGTAATCCAGTGAAGGGATTTGGGGGGTGAGGGTGGAGGTGGGAATTTACTAGTGACTAAACAGGATTGAGCCTTACACTGCATCAATAAAATGGACAGGGCTGGGAGGACTCCTCCTCCCCAGTTAAGAAAACTGAGGCTTAAGCTTGAAGTGGCTCGTCCCAGCCCAATCAGTAGGTTCAAGGTGCTAGTGGACACCCAGGGTTTTGGACTCTAATGCCTGCACTTCCCTGAGGACAATGCCTGGACAGGAGGCCAGAGGCTCAGGAAACAGCTCTTTGTTTATTCCACAAACTTCTTGTTTAGTCCTACTGTGAGCCAGGTACAGCGGCCTGGGGCCTGAGAGGTGAATTAGAGAAAGTCTCTCCGCTAAAGTCCTCACACCATTCCCTCTGCCTCCTTCCTCTCCTTCACACTTTCCCTATCAATCAGAGAAGCCCTGGTGGTGTAGTGGTTACTCGTTGAGCTGCTAACCACAAGGTCAGTGGTTCAAAATCACTAGTTCCTCCAAAGGGGAAAAAAAGATGTTGTTTTCTACTACCGTAAAGGGCCTGCAGCCAGGAGACCTGCAGGGGTAGTTCTAGTCTGCCCTATGGACTCGCTAGGAGTTGGCGGCAGTGGGCTTGGTTTGGGGTTTTGGTTGGCACCTGTAAGGCTTTGTAAGGAAGGATAAGGGTGTGAGCGTCAGAAAGAGTGAAGTGGGAGCCATGGAAGATCCTGAGTGATGTCACCAGGTGACATACATGAGCAGGGCTGCTCAGATGGTTGGGAGAGTGGACTGCCAGCAAGAGCTGACCACACTCTTTCAGATCAAAGAGGAGTGGGTAGGGCCTGTGGCAGGTTGGGGTGGGGGAGTAGGTGGGCTTTGGTTGGATTTTATGAAACAGCCAATGAGATTTGTTGACAGAGTGACTGTGGGATGAGACAGAAAAGCACCATGGAGGGGAACTTCAGGTCCTAGAGAGATGGAGGGCAGGGCAGGTTTGGGAGAGGAGCTCTAGAGGGCCACTGTGAGCCAGTTAGATTTGCGGTGGGCTTCAGTGGTTACGCTTGGGCCTCAATCCCAATGGTTGGCAGTTCAAAACCACCAGCAGCTCTGCGGGAGAAGACAGGGTTTTTCACTCCCACAAAGAGTTACAGCCTGGGAAACGCAGGGGCAGTTCTACCCTGTCGGGTTGGGTTACTATGAGTCCAGTCAGCATCAGCTTGATGGCTGTGAATGTTTGCTTCAACACAGAGGAGTCATTGAGAAGGCTCCGAGCTTACAGGGGTCTGCTTGGTGGTGAGCTCCCTAAGGGAGACCACCAGCAAAATACTTATTCACCTCTAGCCTTAGCACCTGGCCCAAAGCCTCGAGGGCACTCTTGACCCACAGTGTCAAGTGCGTGAAAGCAGGGACAACCATGGAGGGGAGAAGGGTGGCAGGTGGCAAAAACAGCAGTAGGTTTCTGCTTAGGGTGACTGCCAGCGTTGCCAGGAGGGACTTCCTGGGTGGCCTTCCATAAGTTATTCAACCTTCGGACCTCGCTCTTTTCTACAGAGTGGGGGCACTTGTCACACCAGCCTCTGGAGATGGCCGGAGAACTCAGGAATCAGTGTGATTCCCACTGTTAATTAGTGTATTACTGCGGCTGTTCCAAGATTGACGATGTTGGAGAAAGCGCAGAGACAGAAAGGGTTGGATTCAGTCTGTTTTGACCCATTTGGGTTTGGGTGCAGTGGGACCACCACTGCGGCGTTGTCCCGGACTGGACTCTAGAGGCCATTTGGCGCCATGGGCACCCCCCGTAGTCTGAAGGCCTAGGTGGTGGCGAAGGAAGAAGCTGGTGGCGAAGGAAGGCGAAGGCAAGAGACCCGAGCACCCCCGGGGACCCCCGTGAGCGCGCCGGGCACTCGGGCTCACCCTGTTGGCCACAGCCAGGATGACAAGGTTACAGTAGGCGTCCGGGCTGGGGTCCTGCGGG